ATGTTTGTGAGAGTAAAGCTTACTCTACAAGACTTTGGTTTTAAAAGGATCGTTGTAAAATTGTGAGAGTAAAACTTATGTTTGTGAGAGTAAAGTTTGTGTCTTTCAAGATGATCAATTTCCTAACTGTTTGTCACGTGCTGTTTCAGCCAATCAGAAACCTCTTCAATCTTGTATCCGGTAGGTCCTGCTCCACCTTGATAGACCACGTGATCATCCTTAATGACGTAGAGTCTTATTGGAAAAGCCCCGTATGCAATGTTTGCAGCGTTCAACATTGTGTCGACGAGAACAGGACAGCGAGATGCATTGTGGGTAGATAGTAACCTCGCCATCGCACAGCGTTCACTTTGAGTTCTGTGGCTTGAAATGATCATGTTGTCCTAATTGTAAAAAAGCAGAATTAATTTTGTTATTTTTATGCTGTGAGTGCTATAACTCTTATTATCTTAACTATCTTTAAGCGAAGCAGGAAAAATAGTCAAGGAGTGTGCCGTTCGACTTTGCTTAATTTATCAAAATTGCTCAATGAGAATGCATGACACGTATAGGACTTGAAAGATTTTGTGATCAAAAAACTCAAGGAAATTCAAGGAAATAATAAGCCTGCTATGATTTATTCTCTCGTGCTTTAGCCAGCACCTAGCCTACTAAGATCATAAGAATTTTCATTGCATCTGAACACATTTACCAGCAGAAGAAGTCACGAGGTGTGACTAAGTGATCATAGCAATCACTTTCTTATAAGACCAGTCATGTGTGCTGGTCCGGGCTCGTTTCCTGCCGGTATTAGCATTGCATTAATATATAGAGTTGTGTTCTTCCAGTTTTTCTCTATCTGGGTTGTTCAGTTTCCTAGCTCATCCTCGAATGAAAAAAAAGTTGTCTAAAATCCAATGGTCAATGGCAAGAGAATATGGCCAATACATATATAATCCCGGAACATGATGCGGCTTATCCACAAAATGTATAACGCAAGAGAATTTTGTTATTCCTTAAAGCCTTGCTTTCCTATAAGTACTCTGAAAGAATTTTACCTATTTCATTCTATAACGGCTTTTATCGGTTGCATAAGCTACCGCTTTTGATAGTTTTTCTATAAGGTAATCTCGTTTGATTGAGAAAACTCCACATAGCACTAATTTGTTCTGAACATTTTTTTACTTAACCAAGCAAGAATATATTTGTTTGATGTGCCTTCTTTTTGCTGAATGGAATGGATGAATCCGAAAAAGCAAGAGAAACGTTTATGTAATAATAAACAACAATAATAATAAACTTTGTTAAAGTCTCAAGCTTCTAGTTTGGCACACGTGCCTTGCTAGTCGCGGAGACCAAAAGTCAGCCTTTGGAGAGTGAGATATCTATTTCTTATAGATATTGAATAATTCTTACCTCAAATGCCCATCCATCTTGTGGGTGTGCTTCTTCAATATATACGGTCACAAAGTTCGCAACATCTTTAAAATCTGCAATCAACTGCGCGTACTTCTCTAGCCTCTTCATAAAGACGGGACAAGTGCAGCTTCCGAAGTTCACTACTAGGGGACGTTTGTCCTGTGCAAAGTCAAGGAGACGACAGTAGTTTCCATCTTCTAGTGAAACAAGTGGGCAATTGACCGCCTTAATGCCTAGGTGGGCTCGTTTCTTTACGTCAACTTCAACGCTGCGCCAAACGTGATCAAACATCTTGGATCCAAAAAGAGACTCCCAGTAGACTTCAGGGGGGAGCTTTTCTGTAGCAATAGCATCAAATGCAGCAACGATGTATGAGCGCAGGAAGAGAAACCGCTTCAAAATAGATCCAGCTATGAACGCCATGACTAGAACGAGGTACATGATGGAGAGCTTCACACAGTGCAGACTTCTTGAGGAAAGCATGTTGATGTTGACGGTTCCGTGTGGCGTTGAAACTGAAGGATTGGCTGCTGTGCAGGGTGCTTTTAAGACGAGTCAGAGGTCTGTCAAGCTGTCATCAATAAACTCAACGGGCTTGACCTGTTAAGAGGGTGTCACTAATCTATTGTAAATTAATTCCCGCCAAAAACGACAAGTAAGCGGGCGATATGAGACAAAAAACGAAAACCTACCTTTCCTTTTTATAGTATTATTACTGGTTGGTCAAGAACCAATCTAAAATCATCCAGTTTCAGTGTGAATGAAGTAGAATTCCATGAAATTAGCTCAACAGGAGTCCAAGCATTGTGTGACCTTGTCCAGATAATGTGACCTGGCAATATCATTTTGCCTTTCAAAACATCAGTCTTTTGTTCCAGTCACAATAATTAGGACACGGATTGGTGGCTTTAGATAACTATCTACTTAATTTACCTACCAACCAAAGGAAATGAATCACGACAGTGATTTACTCGCTTTTTCCGACCAACAAATCTAAACTTTGACCAGAGAAGACAAAACAAAACTCTTGCCAAGGTCCTGAGTTTCAGGCAGATAAGGGTTTCGTGTTTCTGAGTTTGTGATTCCCTAACATAGCGCATTCGTGTTGCCGTGTTTGTGTTGTCTAGAACATTGCTYGTTAACCATGCAGGGAATCTGGCTTTCAGTTACCGTGATCCCAGAAAACAACATCTTGTTTTTGCTTTTCGTCGAAATATCAGCTTGGCACGTTGTCATCACCACTAAACGGTGATGTCTCACTAACTATTCTCAGTTTGTCATTTCCAACAYATAACCTTTAAAATTTCGTTTATGAAATCTCGCATTTCAAGATGTTTTCGATCTGAGATTYTTAAGTTTTAACGGAGAGCGCATTGTCATAGCAACTAAATTTTAAACGAATAATAAATATTGTAATTAGTGAATGGTACTTGTGCCATTTTGCTTCTAGAATCCATCTTAATGAAATAGTTTTGTTCCCGTTGCTTTGCGAATGCAGTTTGCAGATTTGCAGATTTTACCGAAGCCAACTAGTTTGAACAAATACACCATTATATTTATTGCATGATACAGATGATGCCTATGGCCAACTGTACTGTTATGCCGGGGCTAGCGTTAAAGTATTTGTCAGTAATACCACCACTTGTCTCYTTTGCTGCCGTTGTCTGACACTAAGAATGGCTACAAAGGAGAATATACCGCCACTCAAGTCCAACTACCCCAGACCAACTACCCCAGACTCTAAATGAATTTGCGTCATGTYTTCGTTGCCCAGGAAGTCGTGGGTTTGTGAGCACACATTCGGGTCGGTAATGTAAATATTAGGTTGTTGCTCTTCGCAAATGAGCTTACTAAACTGATTAATCATCTTTCTGATACTGTCATTAGACCGTAATCACTCGCCAGGGGTCGAAGTGATCAATTGAATGTAAATATTTACTTAGTTCCAATCAAGCAGATCGATATTCTAGGTCATAAAAGTTGTAGTCACTTCATCAACACTCTGCAAGAAATGAAATACATTAACCTGATCATGAAACGCACGTCAACAAATACTGAGCTTTAGGAATAAATTTGTCTGCACCGTTCATGTTTTTCACGGATAAACATCATTGGGCCGATCATTTTTTGTTCTTTTTCGTGGACTAACCCTGTTTGCATCGATCACATTTAGTTCTTTTTCATGGTCTGAAACCTGTTTTCATCGATCATCTTTAGTTTTTTTTTTCACGAGTTAAACCTATGTGAACCGACCTCCTTTTACATTGACTTTTATAAAGAATGTTGTTTGTCAAAATGAACCCTGTCTCCACCGATAACCTTAAGACGTTAAAGCTAAACCTATATGCACCTACCACCTAGTATGCTTAATGGTGTAAACTACATCGTGTGTGACCACCACGAGTGCATGGTCGGTGACAATTCGACTAAAGTCCATATTCTTGTAACATGTCATCGGGATTACCTGTYACGCAAGACATCAAAGCTTCAATGTTGGACGAGAAGATAATGGATATCTCTAGAACTATGAGAGAATTCTTATGACAGACACACCGATAAATCTAGTGTTGTTATGCTTTGAAAGAAGAAGTATTGTCGTTTTTGAAAAAAATAGCTCCAACTGTGCCATTAAGGTGTTAATTAAGAGGGGTTTTCTGTGTCGCGTGTGCATCGGTAGACCAGGGTAACTTTCGCGTTGTTTGATGAGTATCAAGGGAATTTACCAAGAGACGGACCTTCACCAGCCTAGTCATGAAACGTTTCTACATCACACCATATTTTTTCATCTTTTCACGGTGTATAATTTACCTTTTCATCATTACTGTTTCATTAGAAACACTGACGCAGCTCACAATAGTTTTTAGCTAGTTATATCTTCATATTTTTTCAACGTTAACACGAATTTATAATATGGTCTAAAGGACATCACACAATCAGCGAGTTTGCTTTACCCGTCAAACAAAGATTACTTGCAAATGTGTAATAGTGGAGTTGACTGACTGACTGACTGACTGATGGACTGATCTGCAGACTGACTGACTGACTGACTGACTGACAATTTTACATATCTTGTCACCGTTAAGTGTTTGAACAAGTCTCATACCTGATTTATAAAGCTGGATTGAAATTTTAATTTTAAAAAAACAATATGTGCTATTAGTTGCTAAAATACATTTATCTTAAATGATTATTTATTTATTTATCTTCAAAACAATAGTTCCCATCTCTTGCAACTACGTTATCGGAATAGACCCTTTTAGAGTTCCAAATTACCGCTGTGTTCCTTGATTACAGACTCATTTACTCAG